GAAATTCTTGTCAATTATTTTGATATAAAATCAATAAGGTATTAGGTTATTACACACTTTAAACCAAACTTTCTGTTCCCATATACTGTTAGATGAAGCGATGTAAATCAACCTTTTTTTCAATAAAATTAATTAATCTTGTTTCGAAGCTTCTTATAAGTTTCTAACAACTGAACACTATATAAACCAAATGGATAATATCTAAGTAAACTACATTATGTTTACTGACGAGAAAATAAACTGTTAACTGTTATGTTTCGGGAAAACAAACAATTAAGACAAATTCACATCTATATACAACAACATAAAAAGTAGATAAGATTTATGATAGAAGTAAGAGATATCAATCTCTGAAAGAGAAGAAACCATTAGATAAACAACTGAAATGAATGAAATAAGTGAAAACTAACACTAATATTAAAGAGTGAATTTGTTAAAATAATAAAATGAAAAGATGACGTCATGGAAGTCATCCTAACCTAATATAAACAAAAAACATTTTTTCTTATACTTGTAGACAGTGACAGACTTTTGTTACGTAACTAGAACTTTCAATCCAAATCCATCACTACATTGCATTGTTCATAGTGAACTAAATACAAATAGGGGTATTAATACATTTATCAAATCATTCTTAACTGTTTTAGGAGGTAAATGATTATATTCAACATAATACAATTGGCTTTATTCGGAATTGGGCTTATGAAACAAAAAGTTGTCAAATCTGAATGGTGTTACATAACCGAAATTGGATCATAACATTAGGATATTAGTTAAACTTTGTAAACGTATGTTGTAAAAGACGTTATAAATGCAAATAAGACATTTGTTAGTATGCTACGTCAGTTAACTCCAAGTCTATGTGAAAAAAGTATTTTCAAAAAGCGTCCTATTGTTATTAGAAACAAGTGAATTTAATGAGTTCTGTGTATATCCTTAGGTACTTTCACCGTACTTATACGAATCTAACTGTTTTTAAGAAATCAAATTATCTCTCACTTTAAACCAATGTATTCTTTTTATTAAAATTAATAAAACAGGAGTGTAAAACTAATGAACTAATAGATTGTGCAGTACGATTAATCATATAATTCAATATTTCAGTCACTATTAGTAGTTTGTAATCAATCGTTTTTAATGAGTCTTCCAAGTCAATGCAACAACGAACTAACATTTCTATGTTCACTAGCTTATGTCTTCGACTGAACAACTGTCATTCATTACCATTGAAACATTAAGTAATCATTAACCTAATTGTTAAATTCAGACTTGTGTATTATTTCATGTGCTCAATTAATTCTATATAATTCAAAATATATTTTATATTCACTGAATGTCATTATATTAAAGCTCGAAGAAGCATAGATAATCGTAGTGAATATATAATGTTGTTCCAGTATGAAAACATTGACTTAATGTTTTCATCGTCTGAGTCACAGTGTCTCCTTAGGGAAACCATTTAATTTCTGGAAAATAATTTCCACAAAACCTCCTTCTGATATTAATCATCATTTGCTCACTAGGGATATTTCCTGGAGTTCTAGTGAGAAGCAGTGATAAGTGGAGTTCAACCTAGTCTGTTGTGAGATGGTAACTCATAGATGATAATGGTAGATGTGTCGCTCAATTTCATGGATTGGTTAAAGTTAGACATTAACACCGTTGAATAGCGACCGGCTCAGTGGTCTAGTGAATAAGCATTCGCACGCGAGATCGATAGGTCCTGGGTTCGAATCTCGAAAGGTGGTATCGTGGATGAGTACTGCTGAGGATTCCTGCACTAGGGCGAAACGGTCGTCCAGTGCTTGCAGGTTTTCCATGGTGGTCTAACTTTAATTGACTCATGAATTCAACTATAAAATAATCTTTATGTTATTTCCTCTAAAATCATGTTATTTATGTCAATGAAGATATTGTTAGAGTATTTGTCAAAAGTGATGTAGAAAAATGTCTATATCTTGAAAATTTAAGAATCTACCTTTGCGATTAATGCTTCATCTGATTGTTATATCTCGTTATGCAATATTCCTTTTTTTCTTGCATTAACCGTATACTGAATTATAACATTACAATACATAAAAATTCTGTGTTTTTATCTGCATCAAGCATAAAGTCTCATAAAATACAATTAACAGAGGAACAAATACAAGTAAGATGTGTAATTCATTTGTAACAATGGAGAAAATAAATTTCTTTTTTATACTTTTTTAATTGAAAATTGGTATGTTTCTAAAATTGTTTTGATCAGTTATTCATTAGTTAAACTATTCGGATCATAATCGATTGATTAGCTGTCTACATCTACATCAATTCCAACAGTTCAGTAGCATCATGAAATTTAAAGCAAATAAGCCCCTTATAACTGAAGGCATACGAAAATGAACCTATTAAATGAGCTAGTTTATAGAAGAAATCTAAAGTGTATTTGATAATAATGTCCACCCAGCCATTAAATTCATCAGCGAGGAGGAGAAGGACAATAGCATAGCTTTTCTAGATGTCCGACTCTCTAGAAGGATAGATGGTTCCATAAAGCGAAATATGTTTAGAAAGTGTACATGGACGGGTCAGTATACCCATTTCCAAAGCTTCACACCTCTGCAATGTAAAATAAATTTGGTTAAGTGTCTCAACCACAGAATCAAGTTATTATCTTCTGAAGACAGTGTGGAGAAAGAAATAGTTATACTGAAGAACACATTACGTAATAATGGCTATCCTGATAATTTCGTCAAAAAATACCTCGTACAAAGTATGAAAAAGAGAAGACATTGCGACACAGTGAGTAAAAAGACCTTATATCTGAAACTTGACTTTAAAGGCGATATAGCGGGTGATATTCTAACACGTCGACTCAAAAGATCTATCGAGAGGACGTTTCATGCCGCCAAGTTACACATAACTTTCTCGACTAAACCAGTTCTCACACAACTAACCGAGGATAAGTTACCGAAGATGGGCTCCTCCATGTGTGTATACCAATTCAACTGCTCCTGTGAAGCTAGTTACATAGGCCGTACTCAGAGGGCTTTATCCTTGCGGGTTCGTGAACATGTACCAGCATGGTTGGGAAAACGAGTCACCAAATCGATTAACAGCACCATTCTTTCTCACTTGGTAGATAGTGAACATCATATCAAAATAGAGGAAGCTTTGTCTGTTTTATATCAAGTTCCAAAATATCTACCTCAAGGAGCTAGATTACGACTGCTTTACACAACCGAAGCCATCTGGACCAACTCCAGAAGACCTAATTTATGCATCCAGAAAAAATATATCCAGCCTCTATGTTTACCCTGGCCTACGACTGGGTCACCGAATACCTAGACTGAATATTATAAACCTCTTACCCCTTCCTTTATTTTCCTTATCATTATCTATATCTTAATCTTCATATCCATCATTCCCAATTTGTTGACCGTAATTACCTTGATAACACCCCCCTTATTACATATTATATTCACACAACAATATTATTATTATCTCAGTTGACAAAATTATTTTCAATTTTGCAATAGTACTATTATCTTATTGTGACTGAACAATTTACTGACCTTTCTAACTTGCAAATATTACAATTTTTTTTGTTTTGAAGCATATATATATATTGTAACAGATGCAAACGTTCACCATTTTTAACACATAACATTGTCAAACTCATTAAAACGTGCCTTATTTTTGGCCTTTGTAAAATATTATAATTATGGACTTATAACTGTAGAGCCTGATGATGAAGTTATTGAAAACAATTGTTCGCTCAAATATTCTTCGTTTTTGTATTTGATAACTTAACAGTCATATATGAATATTTCTATGTTCTGGTAATAATGATGTGTCAAAGTTAATGGATCACATTGGTAGCATAAAGTTTCCAGACTTATGATCAATTATTAAATGATTTCCTGATTGGAAGGTTTTGACTATTATGGTATACGAATGAAGACGTAGAAAGCTTTAGAAAAACTGATTTGTGGGGGGAAGGTACAAATCATTTTATGATATATTTAACGAGTTTATGAGTAAAAGACTTGGGCTATCGCAGCACTTAGTTTATCCAGACCAACTTTCTGGTGATCTTTAACGAACAGCACATAATCTTATGTACTCAAATATTGTTTCAGGAGTGTGAAATTTTAAATGGCTAGATCCAACAACCATTCATGATTATAGTAATAACGTAATTAAAAATGTCGACTGTATGATGTTACTAATGTAATGAATATCTAAGAATTTTGTTAATATAAAAATCCATTGGAAAATCCTCTTCAATTTATAACCGATCCCAGGATTTGTTAAAGATAAGTTGGCTTTAGGGATGCCATAATTTTTATTTACCAGATTACATGCTGCTGTAGAGCATGTTCTATTGTCCATACAAAGAGTTCTAACAGCACTTCCGAACTCATTTCCGAGCACCAGATATCATGGCTATCAGAAAATGAGTCAAAAGTTACTCATTAATCCCCTATCTGAGCGTCTATTCATCGCTTATCATAGATCTTCACCAGAATCTTCATTTAATTTCACAAACTGTTTGTAAAGGCAGTTGGATGGGAAATTTGCGGATAGCAGATGACTTGATGATCCATCAATTTAAACCTGATCTGTATGCAGAAGCGATATATTCAATCTCATACTTTATCATTGCTGTAATTCCCCCCCATTCTTAGTTTGTAGGTTGTCTTTGACAAATGTCCATCTCTTGTTTGTCTTCTTTGTATTCATTTAAGTGGATATTTATCTTTCGCATACCTCTTTGTGTTGTCTTCATCTTATTGCCCTTTGATTATTATGCAATTATATTCGATCGATCAAATGTTTGATTAACTTTTAATATGTTTAGACATTTCTGAATAAAATGCCAACTATAGTAAAAGAGACCATCATGAAGATTTTCTTTGTTAACCTATATTTCATTCCATACAGATTAAAATATATACCTTCCTATTGATTTTATTAAGATGATTAATGAATTACATGTATAACACAATAAAACATACCTAATAGTCCAGGTAAATGTAGAAGTTCCATTATCTCACCAAACATAAAACCAAAACCATAGAAAATAAGTATACTTAATGCTTCACCATGACGACATTCAAATGCTTTTTCAAATTTATTCCCTGAGAATTGATTATCATTCATAGAATTATTTGTTAATTGATCTATTCTTTTTATGATAGAAATAAATCGACATTGTGGTGGTAATGCAATACTTGGTTTAATTGATATAATACATGCATATATAGCTAATAAAAATAATCCATATGTAAATATACTACTTAAATGTGTATAAATCCATAATAATAATTTAGATAACCATATAGGTAATTTTATATGTTTTAAACATAATTTACAATGATTATTAAATTTTTTTTGATATTTTTTTAATTGACTAATTTTTTTATTTGTATGAATTTGTTGAAATTCTAAATTATTATTATTATTATTATTGTCAATATCTTGATTGAAATTTTTTTCATAATTCATTTTAGATAAACCAATATTTATTGATTTTCAATATTTTCATCAATTTATTGATTATAATCAATTATTCATATAAAATCATGATTTATATTGATTGTTTAATGTGAGTAATTGGATTGAATAGATGATGATTGTAAGAAATATTGATTATTTATAATTGAATTATCAAGTGAATTATTGATTTCATTAATTGTATCAAAACTTTCGCGATCTATCAATAAGGATACTATTTTCAAAAATAAAATATAAAAAAAAGAATTGAAAACTTTAATCAATATGAAGATGAATAGAAAAGAGGTTTGAAATGTTAAGATAATAATTGAAGTAAACTTTAAAGGGAACATTATCATATATGAAGTTCTGGTCTCTTTTTTTTCCATTAACAGTTACTATACTAATATTATGCTTTACTAGTGTCTATTATGATTCACTTATTTCTCCGTTATTTAGTAATAATTAACTTATGATTATTAATAGACTGCTAGGTTTGAAGCTATCACGAGTTCACTTAATCTGTGAACGAGAACAAGACTCGGTGACCATAGACCAGTAAGCTAGCTATTTGATGTGTCCCAGGCCCGCTAACTAGAGGAAGAAGTTCAAGCTTGGAATGGGGAAGGATATTTTGCAAAACGGTCAGAAACGAGCGATAACAACAACGACATGAAGATGACAAGAGCGCTTTTGGCGCGAAAACAAGGAAATTCAAATTTTCTAAATAAAATTAAAAAATTAGGTCCTTTCACAAACGAGTTCTGGGGATCTAACGTCCCTAACATAGACCAATTATTATAAGGAAATATTTAAAATGAAATGTATCATCCATATAAGAGAAAGAATATATTTGAACGAATTTGAAGTGAATACAACCTTTTGTCTGATAATTTGGTTTAAACATTTTCAAGAGAGTTTAATCAAACATCAAAATAATCGAATACAAATATGTACAGGAATTCCTATGATGGATTAAACTACAAAATTGTGCATTTATGACATTTGATAAACTGGTTCGAAGTAAAGACCGGTGTCAGGCAAGGTTTCTTACTTTCATCCTTTCTCTTCCTCCTAGTGATCGAATGGATCATGAAGACGTCAACATCTGAAGGGAAGCATGGGGTACGGTGGATATCTAGAATGCAATTGGAAGATCTAGACTTCAAAGATGATCTGGCTCTTCTATCGCACACGCAACAACAAATGCAGGAGAAGATGACCAGTGTAGCAGCAGCCTCAGCAGCAGTAGGTCTCAATATACACAAAGGGAAAAGCAACATTCTCCGATTCAACACAGCATGCACCAATCCAATCACAATTGACGGAGAAGATTTGGAAGATGTAAAAACCTTTACATATTTGGGAAGCATCATTGAGTAACACGCCGAATCTGATGCAGATTTGAAGGCGCGGATCGGAAAGGCAAGAGCAACATATTTACAACTGAAGAACATCTCAAACTCAAAACAACTGTCAACCAAAATTAAAGTCACAATTTTCAATACAAATGTGAAGACAGTTCTACTGTATGGGGCGGTAACTTGGAGAACTACGAAAACCATCATCCAGAAGATACAAGTGTTTATTAACAGTTTTCTACGGTAAAATACTTCGGATTCGTTGGCCAGACACTATCAGCAACAACCCATTATGGGAGAGAACAAACCAGATTCAAGCGGAAGAAGAAATCAGGAAGAAGCGCCGGAAGTGGATAGGACACACATTGAGGAAAGTACCTAACTGCATCACAAGGCAAGTCCTCATATGGAATCCTGAAGGTCAAAGGAAAAGAGGAATACCAAGGAACACATTACGCTGTGAAATGGAGACAGACATGAGAAGAATGAAAACAAATCGGGTAGAACTGGGAAGAAGGGCCCATAACAGAGTGGGGTGGAGAATGCTGGGAGTAACAGGCGTAAGTAAGTAAGTAAGTACATGGTTCAGTGGTTCATTGTATACTAAATAGATCATCCAATCAATCAATATTCAATCATTTAGATGTTTGATTAAAATTTTGTTGAAAAGGTTCAGATTAGATTGCCAGGTGAAACGTTGGATTTATTTCAAATTCAAATTCGCTGAAATTTTACTTATACATTCGTTCTCTTTAATGTCTCATATCAACTTGGCGCCCAAATACTATGAAAATATTCGATGAAATTTAGAGGTAAGTTCTTCGATATCATCCATATATTTTACTTGTATATATTCATACAAATCAGAATTAAATCCTTTTTTATTTTTTTATTTTTGTTTTTTAAGATTTCAGTCACTTGAAATCGATGAAGAATATCATTAAGATTCTTAGTGATAGTTTTAGTTGCATATATAGTTAATCTGTGTATTCAGTGGACTGCAAATAATAATGGAATTTATAAATAAAAGTTTACATTGGTAATTATATCATCCCAGGTATGCCGGCTCAGTGGTCTAGAGGTTATACGTTCGTGAGCGAGACCAATAGGTTCTGGGTTTGAATCTTGCGAGGCAGGATCATGGATGCACATCGCTGAGGAGACACCATACTAAGACGAAACGGTCGTCCGGTGCTTCCAGGTTTTCCATAGTTGTCTGGCTTTCATTGGTCCATGAATTTAACTAATAAATAAATAAATCCCAATTTTCGAAAATCTTATATCAAGATCTTTGTCCTTGTATCTCCTTTCAATTGATTGCTCATGAAAATAACCTTTTTTAGCAATTTAAACAGTCATTCACGTTACTATTTTGACCTAAATCGTCTATCAACGAACCTATCCAATTAGTCATCAGTGATAAATGTCTGTTGCAGCTTATTGAGTTCAGTTTTAACTATATCATCAACAAATATTCTCCTAGCTCTTGATGACTGAGAGTGAATAAAGTTTTTCTTCAATCTAAATGTGACTCAACTTTAGAAATTCGTGTACTGATCATTCCAGGATAACTTTCTGTACATCAATACTTGGAGTAATAAACCTTTCATTGTTTTAACAGGATAGCTGGAAAATAGAACTTGAAGGTTAAAACTGATTCTACAAATTTGATTGATTGATGGCAGAGATTGAGTTCTTTCAGGATGACGTTGAGTTGGATACTTTTGTGGAAAATTGTGAAGTATTATCTAGATCCTGACATTGTTGAGATTTTTTATCATTATTTACGATCGACTTTTTATGTCTTTACTGAACATTAATTGTTATTAAGTTAAAACTTGAATAACTTAAACTTATGTTCAATCACATCTTGGAAAATCAGTCTGAACCATTAGTTTCCTATAACAAGTTTAGAATACATACGTTTACTGAGGGTTAACACATGAATTTTTCCATTATTCTTATTGGAAAATATTTTTGGTGTCTGTAAATATATGAGACAGAGCATCATTTTTATACGACAATGCTTCATAAAAATAAGGAATGAATGAGGTTGCATTATATCAACTTGTGATCAGGTGTACAACAGTATCTTATAGGGACTATAACTGGATGTGTCATAAAAATAGATATTTGCTTCCTAATAAATCAAATCTCCAGTAATCAGTTTATATAAAACTTGAATGAGAGATTTAAAAGAAACTGGGAAACAAGAATGAAAGAAACTGCGTCTATATGGTCAAAGGTAGTAAGTGTAATAGTGGATATGAAGGAGAAATATCCAGGTAATTAAATATGAAAAATGAGGGAACACAAACGATATTTGGAATATATTTCTGAATCGTTTACAGATTTAAAAGCGTTTCAGAGTAGATCAGTAATTATATACTGCTCTTTAGAATCGGAAAATTAATGGAGACAAAAAAGATTTTACTTCTTAAAAAGAACAAATAACAACTGAAGTCCTAGACATATGCGGTGAATATAAAGAATGTGAATAGAATAAATGAAATACAGATAGCTATGTCATGGCAATGGTTGATTAATTAATGAAAATTCTATCGACCATAACATGACTCCAACAATAACAGATCTTTTAGTCAGTTATTTTGCTTATATATGTCTTCAAATACTCCCAGTTTAACATGACCATAAATACATACTTCAATGGATTTCATATGTACTCTTATATACTTATATGTACTTTTAGTATTATCATAAACAAAACGGTCACTTCACTTGTAAACTTAGGATGAGGCTTCATTTGTTCACTTAACTATCACAACCATAACATACATAAACACACTCACTCATGTATATAATATGTTAAATGAAGTTCAGATAAGGTGACTCATATTCTTAATATCTATATAAATTCAGGATTTGAACAAGGTTAAACAAGTGTTCGTATAGAATTGTTTTAAAATTGTATTTGCTTTTGATAATCTTGATTTTCACCATTTCTTAGGAGAATTTTGAATAGATAAGCCAAGAGAAAAATTTCAAATAATTTCAATTTCAATCTCTAGGATTATTTCAAATACAGCGGCCTGCTTGAGCATCTGGGCTACCTGCTCCTGCCATCTAGATATTTCAACAAGTTATCTATTGTTGTTTGTTTTAATATATCATTATGTTTATTAATCGCATAAACTATTCTGCAGCGTTTCTGAAAAGTGTACAATCTTTCGTTGTCAAAGTTACAAAAAACCCATTAAGAGACAATGTGGTTGCTGGCAATATACAACGAAAAGAATGCACATTATTCAGATGTTCATTCACTGAAGTGCTAACATCAAACTGGCGATCACTCAATATTTATCGCCAGGACCGACCAAGAAGAAAGAAACGGAAACTTGTTGAAATACTTTGCACTGAGAATTCTATATTGTACCAAAAATATAATATTGAATAAAACAGGTAATAATAATACATTTAATATCACTAAGAACCTAATTACAGTAGAAAGATATCTCATCTAAGTGTTTATAACTTTTGGCAGTGAATATCAATAATCCATGGTATGTTTAGATCTCATTACAAGTCCATCTTCGACACATTAAATTGAAATTCAGTTATCAATACTGTAAAATATTTTTAACTTCCAATTCAAATGTTATAACTAATAATGTCAATAGTTGAAGTCATGAG